CAACTTATTCTAACAGCCCTGCATAGGTGATCCAGCCTCAGACCAGCCAACCCAATGAGAAGAATGTTTGCTGGAATCCAGAGTTTGACATTGGACTCAGGTGCATTGATGTGCTTTTGAAGTTCAGGTGGCTGAAAAACCCCAACTAGCCCTTCATGTGCCAGGCCTAGTGAATCTCTTCCAATCTTAGTAGAGAGGAGTTTAAAAAAAAAAAAAATTAGGGATGTGTACCTAATGGGGAGATAAAGAAAACTTTGCTCTGAAGATTTAAAAGTAATAGTTCTAAAAATGAGTTTTTGTAATAAGTAGATGCAGTCTTCTCAAGGAAAGCCAGGAAGATATGACCTCTATAGTGAGAACAAGCTGAAACAAGGGAAAATTTGCTAAGTTGAAGTCAGCTGAAGTAAGATGATAAAGAAACCTAAAATGGAAGAAGTAAAAGAACAAAATTGATGCAGCGATTTTGATTAATTCACTCATGAAATATTTACTGAACCTACTATGTGCTTGCTATTCTAGGCACTTATGCAGTAGTGAATAAAATATATAAAGCAAGTATGAAAGATCCAACCTAAAAGTTACAAGGTTTCTAGTGAAAAATATTAGGAAAAGAGATCTAGAAACAGCATTTAAGGTTGCTAGAAGAAAACTTTCCTAATTTCATTGATTTTCAGATAATATTAGTTCAATGCTCCCCCACCCAGACTCTCTTCTAGATATATTCTGGTAATTTAAATTATATTCCAAAAATAAATAAATAAATAAAAATAAATTATATTCCAAGGAAAAGGAAAAGTCCTAATAGGATCTAGGCATAAACCAAGTTATCTATGTTGGAACAAAAATCAAATTGGCCTCAGACTTCATTTTCTTCTTGAAAGAAGAAGAAAGTGTATGGAGAAAAAGTACATGGATTTTATTATAGACTTTACTCCTATGTGCTGGAAAATTGTTTTATTTTATTTATTCATGAGAGACACATACACAGCGAGGCAGAGACACAGGCAGAAGGAGAAGCAGGCTCTATGCAGGGAGCCTGATGTGGGACTCGATCCTGGGTCTCCAGGATCACACCCCGGGCCCAAGGCAGCGCTAAACCTCTGAGCCACCGGGGCTGCCTTGGAAAGTTGTTTTAATAAACACACAAACCTACAATGTCTGTGATGTGAATGGCACTCTCCAGGGCTTTACAATGCATACAACTTTACTGGGACCCTGAAGATAGTGGAGAATGTAAGGCTGCCTTCCCAAAATTTTATCCCTGCCAAGTTGCCATGCATGTGTGAGGACTTGCCCACATGTAATAACTTGGAAAATAGGGTACTTCCTCAGAAAGCCTCTCAAAGATGCACATTAAGCAAAAACTTAATGCAAATCAAGCTCTAAAAAATGTGAAAACCACTGTAGAAAAAGACTAGATGTAAAGATCGAAGCCAATCAAATATATAAAGCAATACAGATTACATATAATTGCTCACATGTGTGTAATTACAAATTAAGTACAGCAGCCAAAATCTATCCTCAAAAATAAATTTGACAAAACGGTAAAAGAAGAACCAGGGTCTATATAATCCCAGATTAATTTTAAACAGGTCACAATAGGGGCCTCTGGGTGGCTCAGTTGGTTAAGTGCTAGATGCTTGATTTTGGCTCAGGTCACCGTCTCAGGATTGTGGTATTGAGCCCCATGCTGAGGTCTGCTTGAGATTCTTTTCTCCTCCTTTTCCTTTCCCCTCTGCTCCTCTCCCTGTTCATGTGTGCTCTCTGTCTCTCTCAGATAAAAATAAATAAAACAGGTCAGAGTAATTTAAATTGGTTCTAACATAATCAACAGATCAGTTGTGTAGACTAGACTAGAAAGCTCTGAAAGAAAATCTGAAGCATATGTGTAAGAATGCTGAGATAGAACAACTAAAAAAATCCATGGTAGAAAGTATTGGGAAAATTGATTCAGTATTCAGAATTATGTTAAATACAGATTCTTTTACCTTGTCATATATTAAATTGCAGATGGATAAAGATAAGGAAAGAAATTAAATCATTAAAATATTGAGAAATAAATGTGGATGAATATTAACCATACTCAAGCTAAGTAAGGACTTCAAACACAAAAGTAGTGGACATAAAGGCATATCTACAAAAAATGTGACTAGTAATAAGTTATTTTCAACAACAACCAGACTCTAAATAATTTAATGACCACATCAATCTGGGAAGAATTTTTGTAACAAAATTTGGCAACGGATTCACATCTATGAATCATCAAGAAAAATATTAACCTCAGTAGGCCTTTTTTCATTGACCAATTGATAGAAGGAAACTTCTCTGACCTCACTGATGTCTAAAGACTTTTTTCAGTGATTGTGTTTACTATTGGCTATGGTCATAGAGTGGGTGTTTTTATAGATTGTTGAAGGGAACTGTGAAATGATGTATTTTGGGATATCTGTTTTGGCAGTATTAGGAGCCTTAATGTTCCTTTTGACCCAGTTATATCACTTGAAAAATTTACTCTATGGAAATAAAGATGCAGATGTTGAAGTATGTTCATTGACAGATCAGTTAAATAACAGTCCATTAAGAAAATAATGGTTTTAAAAATTATTTAATGACAGGTTAAAATGCACACCTCATACATACAGTATCAAGTGAAATAAAAACATGTAACACCATATACAATATTACTTTTCCAATTTGAGAAAAATTTACTGGGAGAAAATAAATGAAAGTGCTAGCAAGGATTATGTCTTTTATATTTTATGTTTTCTGTAATGAATCTGCATTATTTTTCTAAGCAGTTTGGATAAAAGTGAAGTGTTAGGTTCCTTCCAGCATCTTCTGTTATTTTAAATGCATGTAGTTTCCACTAAGCATTGAATTGATTTTATGTGGAAAACTCTTATCTGTTTGGCTTCATTCTTTAAATATATAAACTGTATTGAGTGAATAAGAGAGAGAGAGAGAATTTGTGTGTGTGTGTGTTAGAGAGAGAGAGTGAGAGAGGATTTCCATGGTATTGGTGAAAGGATAAATAAAAGAATAAACATTTCATTTTATTTGACCCATTTTCAGGCACTGTTTTATACAGTTCATTCTATTTGAAATGCCAGAAATTAATCAGTTTCTTTCTTCAAGATGATGTAACTAAGTTCGTTGTAAATGTAAATTTGTAGTCCTATCCTGGGTGAATTTGAACTAAGCAAGACCGTTTATAAAATCAGACAAAGTTAACACTTAGGATGCAATAAAAAGATGCCTTGGGACTCCATTTAGAGTGCAGTATACGATGAAGCATGACTTAGAAGAACTCTCAGCTGAAATGTGGGTAGTTTTTTTTTTTTTAAGATTTGATTTTTATTTATTAGAGAGAGAGAGAGAGAACATGAGCAGGGGGAAGAGTAAAGGGAGAAGCAGTCTACTCGCTGAGCAGGGGAGCCTGACTGGGGCTCTATCCAAGGACCCCTGAGATCATGACCTGAGCCAAAGGCTTAACCAACTGAGCTGCAGTGTGAGCAGTTTTACTCTCTTCCTGGATGCATATCATGCTGCCTCCTTGTGCCTGTAGCCGAGTTTCCTGAGAGCGTTTGTTCTTTCTCTTATGTCATTAGTAGGTTGCTGGCTAGAGCCTTTTGGAAAGAAGCAGGGTGAGAAAATGGTATGAGTGTGTTAAGAGGGAGCAGCATACCTAGCAGAGTTACCAGGCACAACATGTACTAATATTCTAGCTGATTGTCCCCCACATGACTTTGAATTTGCAGTTATTCCTTCCCAATAACGAAACCCTTCCAATATCGGTAAGTACCTGGAAGGCTGAGTACAAATAAATTGTATCCTGGAAGCTGTCTGTACTCTACAATTCTATCAATCCTCCATTAACAACAAAAATATAATACTCTTAAGAACCCTCTTCCTCAATAGTCTACAGCACTTTCAGAATTCTTTTTTTCTATAGCAGAGATGAAAGTTTGAAACAGGTTCTTCTTATTTCAAGGGGCAGATGAGAAGCAGAAAGGGTTTTATTTCCCAGACCTAGTTATGACTCAGGGTTTGTTGTTGAGCATAAGAATTAAAGTGGTCATTTTTCTTTTATTCCTCCTTCCTTTCATGATCCCCCTTTGCTTTTGTAAACAGCTATAAAAAGTGTATATTTTTAATAAGTTAATGATGTGTACCTTGTTGGTTATTGTCTGCATTTTTACAGCCTTTGTTTTGATGCAGGGACAATCTTTTATTAAAAGATTTGCTCCTACAGATCTGAAAGTATACCCACTTAGAGTACAAAAAAGCAGACCTGAGTCATTCAGAAGACCTTTCTATGTAACATGTTGACTTTGAAAAATCTATATATTATTTTGCCAAAAGCTTTTTTTTGTTCCTTTTATAGACCAGAATTAGACATGAGTTATTTAACCTCGTGGTGCTTAGTTCTGAGCATTGCCATTTCCTTTCCAGACCTTATCTTTTTTTAAATGTTTCAGTTTAAAGTAGAGTTCTATTCAAAAACTACCATTCAGGAGAGCGAAATAAGGGCAGGAGGGAGATAGTGATTGATATTTGGCCTCAGATGTTTGTCCCTCTTTAGGTTTGAAATGGGGGACAAGTATTGTAGAAGCCTTTTCTCTGTGATAGAAGCCCAATGACAATGTGTCCCTGAGTTTCAGAAGGAAGTACAGATGATGGTATATTATATTGTCAGTCATTCTGGCATTTTTGTGTAGCCTCAAGACATTGACATTTCTGGTTTATCTATGGTCTATTACCATCTCTGCTCTTGGTCCCCTTCTCTCTTCCCCTTATTTTTTTTCCTTTTCTGACAATGTCTGCAGGGTGGTAAGAAAGAATTTTGGAACCAGGAAATGAGGGGCTGGGAAAGACGAGGATCTATTTTTTTACTCTCAGGTTTCTTGCTTCTGTGTCCCTGAATATACCCCCAGACAGTTGGGATTCCCAGTTTCAAAAACACTGGGAAATGACTTTCTGCCTCTTTTCTTCCTTTGCAGGAAACACATGAAATTGTGGCAATCAAGAAATTCAAGGACAGTGAAGGTATATATATATTTTTTTCTTTTTTCCTTTTTGTATTTAGTTCTTGTGAATAGAATATGGAAGAGATGGGATCTAGCTAATTAGACTTTGTTCCTGAAATTTTAAAGCCTCCGTCTCAGAAAGTGAATATAGCTTATTTAATATCATGCTTTGCTTTGTAACATTTAGCTCCTTCTGTGTTCATCGTTTCAAATCTCATGATACTAGAAAATTCATCTTGTATTTTAAGGTATAGTCAGCATGGAAATCTTGCTTCAAATGCTGGGTAGATGGCATGCTGTTTATGCCTTTTCTCAATATTGTTAAAATGAGAAAACTGATTTGAAATAAATATTTTTGTGAGTTCACACAAGTAGCAAGTGCTGTTTGAAGGGCTTTGGTATTGGTTACTATGATCTCTGGTTTCTAGTCAGGTAAAAATGCAAGGATAAGTGGTATGTAGATGGTATCAAGAAAGTGATTTTTATATTTAGAATAACTCATTGGAAGAATAAAAGCATTTCAAGAAGAAATACCAAAGTTGGAGTCCTTGGTCACACATGACCAGACCATTTCAGATGGAGTATTAAAATTACCCTATGCTGGGTAAGAAATTTAAAATAAAGCAACAAAAAAAGAGTCGTGTAAAAAATATAAATAAATAAAGCATTTCAGTCATTCATTAGGTTTTAAATCTAGACTATTGGCCATTTAAAGATAGCCAAGTAGAAAACTTATTTAGGAAGGTACACATGGCCTTTCAGAAGCTCTAGGCAGCACTTTTCCGCTTTTTTTCCCTACAGAGACCCACAGAAATATTATTTTTACATTCTAATCCAATATCCACATACATGATGTCCTAAATATAACTGAAGCAAAAGTGCCACAAAATTATTATACTAATGTGAGGTTCTTCATTTTCTGTTCTTTCCTGCTCATATAAATTCACATAAATGCCTATTTGTGGCATAAGATAACACTGATTTTTACCTCTGAAGCATAACCTGCCTTGTGAAAAATAGTGCTAAGAGGCACCAGCATAGCATCAATTTCCCTACCTAATTGGAAGTATGGCAATAGCAGTCATAGCCTACCTCCATCAGCACACATTGAGTACTGCAAGACACCAGGCTCTATGTTTGTGAACAGTTTCATCACCCATACTTTAGACACTTAGCAAACATTAAAAAACAAAAAGGGCTCACTAACAAAGTCCCGGGGTAGATTCACAAGTATTTGATATACCTACCTCTGATGTGGAGCACATGCACATCATCTGGGAAACCTTAGTAGCCATTGTCTTGCCAGCCTTTAAAGAGAAGGCAATAAATACTTTTAGCTTGTTCTAAAGAAAAAAAAAACCTGCTTCAAATGATGTATCTGTAGTGTAACAGGAAACAGTAGCCCCAGGCCAGTCCACTCTGAGACCATTGGCAATGAGCTCTTTGAGCAGTGGCTTTGGGCTAACCACAGGTGGTGAAGAGACAAATAGTGATCTATTAAAAAGAGTGGTTGCAACAGTAAATCAAAGTATGACCTTTGCCTTCATGTAAAGACCTCTGGCTGTGTATTCATCTCGTGAGGCACATCGTCAAGCGTCAGTTACCACCAAAAATAATAATTGTTGTGAAGTTTTTGAAAAGCAGTACAATCTAGGTCACATATGCCATTGCTTAAAAAAAAGAAAAAAAGAAAAAACACTAAGTGCTATATTTTTCACAATCCCTGTTCTGTGCATCCCAATTCTTAGCTTCAGTTAATGTATTCATACCTGTGTGCTGATATCTTCAGAGTGGTAATCAATAGCGTATCTGTTGAAATTTATGAGCACTGAGCCAGGTGCTGTAATTTCAGGAAATCTTAATTCTTAGTATAATTAAGACCTGTAAATAAAGAGCAGTAAAACAAGGTAGGAAGCAGTCAGTGCCTGAATGAATTTGAATAATTTTTGAGGCAAGAGACATTGTTTCTAGCTGTTGGATCTTGGGAGTGTATGAATAGTCCAGACACTATACAAAACATTTGATCAGCCCTCATTTCTGTGTGCTGATAAAGCATGAATCCCCTCAGCCCTCATCTCTGCCAGACCATTATCAGTTACCATACCTTACAGACATGCAGCCTTATCACCCATCCAATTTGTAGACGGACACCTTTGTAGGTATACCCATGTATACATACTTCTAGAAAGATACTTCCTTAACATTTCTGTGATAGAATCTGAAAGCATGCAATTATTCATAACTTTTTAGTTCCAGTTCTATTCTAGGCACACTTTCCTACTCTTTCTAGCTCTCTCTGGGAGGTTGCATACTCTTCTTTTCTGCCTTTACCCTTTTCCTCTTATCTGAGTAGAATCTTGCTTAATGGAAGTAAGGGAATGTGTGTGGTGAACAATCCTTTTGGAATGTGAAGTGCACATAGATATTTCAGTACAGATGAGAATGTCCACCCCTATGGAAACCCCTTAATTCTGAACCATTTTATCACCTTAAATTTCAGTTGGGACAATTCTTTTTTTTTTTTTTTTTTGTATATTTTTTTTATTGGCATTCAATTTGCCAACATATAGTATAACACCCAGTGCTCATCCCGTCAAGTGCCCCCCTCAGTGCCCATCACCCAGTCAATTCTAAAGAAATAGAGTTTCATCATAATATCCTTATTGTCATGTAGCTCTCATTAATCTCATTTATTAGTTACTCTGAAAATATTCTGTTGGTATTATGATAGTGAATTTTCTAAACCCAATGTTTAAAAATCTTTGTGAAGATCATGGAATAATCCTGTAAAAACATTTGTTACACTGAAATAGCATCTGAACTCGGTCTGATTTGCATTCAAGCTAGTCAAGTATTCTCGTACTTGATAACATAAAATAAAATATCAAGATATGTTTTATGAGAGTATATGTTACCTTCTGTTAGCTTTAAAAGATTGTGATCATGTCCTATTTCTTTGTTAAATTCACATATGTCCACAGATTTGTATAAAATGTTTTGAAACTGCATTTTAAGATAGACTGCTATTTAGTTGAAGCTATCCTTGTTATCCCAGGATAGTAGATCACTGTCTAAAGTGGGATCCAAACTTTAATAGTAAATATAAGGTTAGATTGGGACTTTAAGTTAGAAAAATGGAAGAAAAATAATAAAAAATAAGTTTATTATATCTTATAGTTAACACTTTAGGTTATAATAGCAAATATGTGCTATTTCTTAGAAAAAAAAGAATCAAGTGTTACCTTTTTTGGGAGGGGGGCAAGTTTTGCAGTAAAATTGTAGGGTAAGCTAGTGAGTGACTTTCATAATAAAAAGAGGCTCATTTAAAAATACTCCAAAGGCTTTGTCAGTTTTCTCTCTTTTTTTATATGACCTCATCTTTCTGTCTTCATCCCTGTCAGTTGTTTACTCTCCAGTTGTTAACTGTTAGAACTCTGTCGGATCATTAATCAGTGTCTTTTGTCTGTGATTTTCCTTAAAGACAAAACTGACATACTGGGTGAGGATAAAAGCTCATGTTCAAATGGAGGACTTGTGTGAGTGATGACATTTTTATCTGAGATCAGTTCATTGGTTAATATATTTTTTTTTTGTTTTGGTGACTTTTGATTCTTTATACATCATCATCAATGTAGAGTTTCCGATAATGGATTTTTTTTTTTTTTTTTTTTTGAGGAAAAGAGTATACGTGCAAGTGGTGGGGAACAGGGAGAGGCAGAGAGAGAGAGAATCTTAAGCAGGTTCCATGCCCAGCATAGAGCCCGAAGCAGGGCTTGAGATCACAACATGCACCAAAACCAAGAGTCAGATGCTTAATCAACTGAACCACCCAGGTGCCCTATGAGTTTGTCTATTAATGTAAGTTCCCACAAAGAAACATTAACTATAGACACCAAATCATCCGGGAGTCTTTAGAGAATCAGTTCTACTTAGTATTTGGATTTTCTGAGAAGAGAAAAATGACCACAGACCAAAACGTTACTAGAGATTATTGAGTTGAAAGATATTTTTTGGACTATGTGTATAATGATAAAAATCTAGCCTAATTCATTTACCCTTCCTATAACTCTAATTTCGTACAATGAGATCTGATGTTTAGATGATAATCTTCTGTCACTGTTGGAACATAATTCTCCTGCATACACATGTACAAATGTCTGCCATCCTCAATTTATTGATTAATCTAAGAGCAATGATTTAGACTAGATAGATTTGAATTAATAAGAATTAAAAACATTGTCTGTTCATCTTTTACTTGAGGAAGTCCTGTAACTAGGCTTTATTTTTGACATACACTTGGATCTTCTAGTGTGACAACATGTTTGGCTTCTTAGGACTTTTCAGTCTTTCCCTAAAAGTACAGGTGCTGAGATGAGGAGGGGTCCTCCCTACTTGTCGCTGGGCCTTGGTACATGGCAGGGAGGCTGATTATCAAGGAGCTGTATAGCAGGAAGATGGATTCAGGTTGTGTCTCTGCTTTCATATCAAATAAAATGGCTTGCATTTCATATCCTGCTGCTTATCTTTTCTGTAGATAAATATTTTTTCTCTTAGACTGGACATACTTATTCTTCTTAAACATGAGAAAATGTTTCCTTGGTCATCCGTTCTTTGCTCTAATTGATTTCATCCTTATTTTTACCCAGACTTTAGAGAACTCTGTCTTGATCTCTGGATTGAGGAAACTCTGGCCTCATTTTGTATAATGATACAAAACAAGGGTTCAAAGTCTTTGGTTCTTAAATTATAAAACCTAATTTCTCTGTAAAAGAGGCCTTAAAGCAAACTCTCCCATCTTTGGTTAAACAGAAAATTCAATGAACTAAGCTTGAGCATTCTAGCCAGTATTGATTTCATCACTCTTCCCTTTTTTTTTTAAATTAAAGATTTTATTTTATTTATTCATGAGAGACACAGAGAGAGGCAGAGACACAGGCAGAGGGAGAAGCAGGCTCCTTGCGGGGAGCCCGATGTGGGACTCGATTCCAGGACCCCGGGATCACGCCCTAGGCCGAAGGC